TATATATTTTTACCATTTTCAGTCAATTTTACGTTGAAAATTTTGGTATTTATACTTTTTTCTCCAAAACATCTAATTGCTTACATTTTTTATTTTCTAAATAAAATCTTTTATTTTTGTCATTTTGAGTTTCTTCATTTTTTTTTCTTATATGTCTTCCGGTAGTTCAAACATTCTAAGATTACAAACATCTTTACAATCCTATCATGGTTGAGAATTTGAACTACCGAAAGACATTTAAGAAAAAAATTAAGAAATTCAAAATGACAAAAATAAAAAGTTTTTCTTCAGAAAAAAAAAATAAAAAAAATCTAAGTAATTAAATGTTTTGAAGGAAAATAAAAAAAATAAAAATTTCCCAAGTAAAGTTGACCGAAAATGTTAAAAAATATAGTGGAAAATGGCTCAAACAAACCCTTATATTTATAGGTTTAGCAGGGGTATTTTCGTCATATTTTGGAAAAAATATAATAACAGGGTTTTTTTTGTATTTATGTGTAGTACATGGGGTAAATGATACAAAGTCCATAGTACATGGGTGTTTTTGTATTTAACCCTAAAGAATAGAACGTCCGAATTGCACCTATTAAAAATTGATCAGAATAATTCTAATTTTATAACAAGTTTTTTCCATTCTAATTACATTTAGTTTTTATGTTGTTGTAATTAGGAACTTCTAGCTAATTATTACCCCTATAATAAAATTTTAAATTGACTAAGGAAATTCAAATTAAACCATTATATAGAGATATGAAATCTCTTGAAAACGCAAGTGAAGATTTTATAATATTCGTGCTAAATAGGTCACATGTTATAAATTATAATACCTTTAAATGAGTACCCCTGTCACAATTCCGTGTTTAACATGTGACATATTCTCTATAAAAATCTGAAGATATTATTGTAAAAAAATTAACTTGAATTTTTATTTTTAATATTTAATTAAACCTTTTCTTACTAAAGAAAAAATTCAAATACTTTGTAATAACTTGCAAATCACATGAAATATGTAAACCATAGTATTAATTAGTAGGAATCACAAAACATCAGTGACGATCTTGACCTAAAAACTGTTGACCAAAAAATTCAAACACGGGTTATTGTTATAATATTTGGTGCACAAAATAATAAAAGATTTAAGAAATACTAATCTTGAAAACAAGAAAGATTTCAAAACTCAATGAATAGAATTTATATACATTATTGGAAGATTACACAATATAATATCTAATTAATACCAAAGATTACAATAATCAATGACATTTCACATTTCACAAATGGCTATAAATATCTCAAAACAACCATTTCTTTTTTCACAAGAAAAAAAATAAAATAAAAAACAATGGCGGCAAGTTTCACTCCTTATCCCCCTTGTTCGACTTTTCTATGCAGCGATCGCGAATGTTGCGGTACTAAACAAAAGTACGATACTGTATGGTCGAATCTAGTTGGTATGGTTGCAGAAGAAGCTAAGGCAATTATTACGAAAGATAACCCTCTTGTTACTGTTGTTCTTGTGCATATAGACGAGGCTACAATCGACAATTTTTGTTGCAACCGTGTTTGGCTTTTTGTCGATGAAAACAATCGTGTTCGTAAGGTGCCTATGGTTGGGTAGAAGAACACCAACTAAAAATAAGATCTATAAATAAATAAACAAGGCCTGAAATTTTTTGCTGTTTTTATATATACAAAAACTTTGTCTACAGTGCGTTTTTTGCTGTTATTTTTCTTTGCTTTTGTGTAAACTGTCTAATTTGTTTATAATCACGCTAGCTAGTAGTTATTGGGTACAATTAATCCTAAAATTTTAGATAAGATCTTTGTTAGTATATCGAAATAATACATGGGTCTTTTTGTAATTTGATAAAAAAAAAATCTCAAATGCAGTCGTAAGTCAACATATGACCGTTAGTTATTGATGATTAAATAGACGGAGGGACTTATTGTGTTAAAATGTGGCAACATGATAGCGTACTTTGCTCATGTGGCAAGTGAGGTTCAAAAGTGAAAAACGTGCAAACTTGGAGGACCAAAAGTATAATTATCCCGATAAAAAAACCCGTCAAATTTGCAAATACTAGGCGAAGTTTTTTGAAATATGACAACTTGGAGGACATAATCTTTAGATAACCATGCTAATATTGCAAATAAGAAAAAATAGAAACAAACTAAAACTAAAAAAACATCTATGGTAGAAATTTTTGTAATCAAAGCTTGATGGATTTTAAAAATAATTCAACTTCATTTCCATCTACCCTGAAATTAGGCTAATAATGAAAGATACCCCTACCTATCCGTAATAACCAAAATTCCACTCTAATGAAATGTTGATCGAGTTTTTTTAAATCCGTGAAAAGTCACATTGTAAGGGGTTGATGTAAGACCAAAACAAAACTCAGGAGTTGTGGTAACTACGAATAGGTGGGGGCATTTTTTGTTATTAACAAAAAATGGAGGAATTAAAGGGATTAGAGATTTTTATTTTGAAAATACAAAAATAACCCTCCAAGTTGCTTGTGCAACCCACATGGGTCTAATTCCGGCTGATCCGAGCTATTTGGCCTAGGTCCGAGAGGACCACCAACTATCCATCTTTTTCTCTCCAGTCGAAGCCCACCAACCACATGTTTTAGGACCCGACAAAATGGGCGCTCTCTCTCTAGGTCAGGAGCCTCTCTCTCGATAAAAAAGGGGAGAAGACAGAGGCAAGAGGAAAAAGAAGAGAGAAGAGCAGAGGGAGATAGGGAAAAAAAACACCAAACACACACCAAGAGACAATTCAAATCTACGGTGGCCAACGAACCCATCACCGGCCAATTTCGTCTGAAAATTCCAAAAAAAAAAAGGTTAAGTGGCACAACTTATTGAGTTCAGGTTGATTCGGAGGTTTTTGTTTTGTTTTTTTTTTGTTGAGATGGTAATCCACAAAAACGGGTAAAGTTTAGGTGGTTTAATGCTATTTACCAGGACAAAGGATAATTACACTTTTGGTCCCTCATGTTTGGGCCGATTCCACTTTTAGTCCCCCTTGTTTCAAAGTGAACAAAGTTCACCTCCATGTTTCTATTTTATACACTTTTCAATAGACATGGCCACGGGGCGGGTCGGGTCCGGGTCCGAGTCCGACTTTTAGGGGACCCGAAACCGCCCGCGGGGAGCCGGGTCCGGGTCCGGGTCCGGGGCAGGTCCATCCGGGTCCGGGTCCAACCCGGTTTTTCAATTTTTTTTTTTTAACAAAAAAAACTTATATTGAAACTTGAAAAAACATGAGATTAACTTTAAATTCAAAAAAAATAAAAAAATAATTGAATTTAAACATTAAACAATTTTAGGAAAAAATGAAACGATTAAGACCTTGAGACATAAACTAAATAAAATGAAAGTCCAGAAAATTGGATTATGGGTATTTATAAGTGAAAATAATAATTGAGAAATCTTTCAAATTTTCAAAATTCAAAAAAAATAAATATTCAATCTTTCTTTTAAATTAAATCGTATTTTTTTATATTTTTCAAAATTAAATATATATGCATTTGTTATTAGTTGGGATATTTGATATTAATAATAGTCAACATGATAATTAATAATTTATAAAACATTAGTTATACAATTATTATAATCATTTGATAGTGTTATTTATATTTTTATGTTTATAATTAGGATTATTATAATAAGGAAAATATATAACATAAACAAAAGGTGTAAAATGATCATAATAAATAATGTTAAATAGATTATTAATTATCATATTTATTATTATTAAATAATTTAATTAAATTATTAACAAATATAATATAATAAAAAAAGTAAAAAAAAGGAATGGATTTGAGCTTAATCCATTTAAATCTTACGATTCGATTCTAATATTTGAATAAAATGTATATGTAAAAAAAAAGATTAAATCATATGATCTACGATTTAATTCTTACGATTTTTACAAACTAAACCAATTATTAAAAGAGAAATCAGATCATAATATTTTGATTATACTCGTCATATATAGTTTTATTTTTAAAGTAAGAAATTAATTAGAATGAGATATAATCTATTTTTTTTAAAATAATATTTTGATTATACTCGTCATAAAATAATCTATATTTTTAAATAATTTAATTATGATAAAATAATCAATAATTTTAATAAGTTCTTGTCAACAATTGAGGTTAATCGATTTAAATTAATTGAAATGAGTTACAATTATTTTTTTAAATAAACATCTTATTTTATTTTTCATTCGAATTTTTCACACTATCGATTTTAATAACATAAGTGAGTTTGTATTAAATCAACGCGCTTGTTTATATATTGAATTGATTCAATATTTTATATTTTTCAATAGTGGAGATTATATTGATATAATAATTAAAAGTAGATGTTTTGAAGTATTGACTCGTGATTCTATATATATTTTTTTAATTTTTATATTACATTTGTTAATAATTTAATTAAAATTATTTAATAACAATTAATAATTTATTTAACATATTTATCATTTTACACCGGTGTTTTATATTATATATATGTATTGTCTACATTTATACAAAAATGTTGATTGGCCCAGTGATAAGAATTGCTTATTCTTCCCCATCTTCACGAGTTTCGAACCCCCTAATGTTCATTTTTTGTACAAAAAAAACCGGGTTAACACCCGGGTCCCGGGTCGGGTCCTCGGGCCGGGTCCCACGGGTAGACCCGTCGGGTGATATTTGGGACCCGTGCTTGGTCGGGTCTAGGTCCATGGTCAACGGGGCGGTCTTCGGGTCAGTTCCAGGACGGGTCCGGGTCAAACCCGGCCCGTGGCCGTGTCTACTTTTCGTCCACTCCGTCACACGGGCGTTAGAAACTAACAGAAAACATTATTTCAGGGGTAATAATGAAATTTAATATTGTTTTGGGGCTACAAAACAATTATAAATTTAAAGTACTATTTGTAATTAATTTTTTTTTTTATATTAAGTATAAAAAAAGATGAATAATATTTACTTTTGACAAACAAAATGCAAATATATATATATATATATATATATATATATATATATATATATATATATATATATATATATATATATATATATAGTGTTTTCTGTTAGTTTCTAACGTCCATGTGACAGAGTAGACGAAAAGTGTATAAAATGGAAACATGGTGATGAACTTTATTCACTTTGGAACAAGGGGATCGAAAGTGGAATCCGCCCAAACATGAGGGACCAGAAATGTAATTATCCCCTATTTACCCTAGATTTAATCAAGTCTTAATTAGGTAATTTGATTAGATGTGAATTAATGATCTTAAAAACCAATTTTACATCTATTTCATTGATTTTTGTAATCTTTCTTTCTTTTAAGAATAGTATTTCATTTATCGTATATTATTTTGTGAACCAACAGATTAACAACTTTTGCAATAAATAATTCAGCTAAATGTATCTAAGCACTATGTAATAGTTTCAATTTTAGATGGCTGAAACCCAAAATTATAAAAATAAATAAAAACCCGTAGTTTTACCCAGAAATATTAGAAAGATTTAGCCATATAGAGTTACGTTCCAGCTGTGTAATTTGGAGCTATGTTGTTCGAATGTAGAGATGATGTGCAGCTGCAACAGCCATTGAAGTTTCATTCAATTACTTTGAGTGTTCTATAGCAAATTCTGGTAAATTGTTTCTTCCTATTTTGTGAACTCTTAAAAAAAAAAAAACAAAAACAAAAACAAAACAAAAGAATCAAAGCATTGCACATATTAGTAATATTTATAATTAAAATACTTATTGATGCTTTTGTTTCTAACTTGTTCTTGTCTACGTGCATTCTGATATTTTCTGGGATTTCCTATTTATTTTATTTTGCTTAGTTTTCTATGTAAACAAAGTTATTTGTGATAATTAGGACCGAGCACATAATTCTCTTTATTTCATAAATTCCCAGGCATACAGTATCATGAAATAAAATGAAGCTGCTAAATTGTTACATGATCACTATGGGACTTCTAACCACAATTTTCCCCTTAGACTCGACCCAACTCAGTGAACCAAATGTCTTATTCATCATTTTACCTTCAATCGTCAGAGTAAAGTTCTTCTTCTCAAATTTCCTTTTGAACTCGATTGTGTCCGGCGACACCCTGACACTCAAACCCTCATAAAACTCTGAAATCCTTGCCGTGTAAACCGAGCTCCCCTGGCCGACATAAGTCACGGTCCTCCTAAATTCTCTCACCGAATTTGTTCCATTTGCATCAGAGAAGGTAATGAAGGAGGGATAATTCAGATCCAGCGACGGGTTTGTGCAACTAGAAATCACCGACCTAGTAATGGTCTGAATTTGATTCTTGGTGAAGTTCATAGCGCAAAGAAAATTCACATAATCTTCGGAGCTAGTGTCATATACAAGGCCTGGGTTTAGGGCCTTGTTGGGATCTATATGACCTGCTCCGATGCCGAGAGGAGAGGCAGGTTGACTTCTTTGTGATCCGAGGTCTTGAATTGAATTGTTCATGTTGTCGAGAACATAGGATGTTGTCATCATTGCTGAGCGAACGGCTGCAGGGCTCCAACGGGGATGTGCCCCTTTAAGAAGGGCCGCTACTCCTGCCGCATGTGGACAGGACATCGAAGTGCCCGATATGATATTGAAATTTCCGAAGAAAATTTTTGAGGTCCCAAAAAATATGGGAGAGACGGGAGACCAGGAGGCCAAAATAGAGTCACCTGGAGCAAGGATATCTGGCTTCAAGATGTATGGAGAGACCCTCGACGGGCCTCTGGAGCTGTACTTTGCCAATTGTGGCGACGGCTTTGCATTGAAGCGTGTTTCGTGGAACTTGAAGCTCGCCTGTTTAGCCTCGGGGGAGCCGTTGGTGATGTAATCGACGAGTTTCTTTCCTTGTTTGAGTTCCAAAAATAGGGTGGGAGTTGTAGTGCGGATGAAGAACTCGATCGTGTCCGTATCGTTCGATACGAAGACAGCTCCAACGACGCTTGAATTTTGGACGCGGACGACTTGCAGGCCTAACGTATTAGTTATGTCAAGGCACACAACAATCTTCCCCCTTGCTTTCTCCAAGGAGCCCTCGTTTTGACATGCAACAACGTAGACGATTGAGAAGTACTTTTCGGCGGGAAACTTTCCGGGGTAGAGGGATTGTCCCGTGACAGAATAGCCATCGCTGAGGTGTAGGGTCCCTTCAAATTTTCTGTCTAGTGTACCGGCAGCTACATTCAGAACCCACGGATATCCGTTGTGGAGGGTCCCGTCGTTTGGCCCCGCATTGCCTGCTGATGTAGAGACAAAGATTCCCTTCTCCATGGCTGCGAAGGCCCCCACAGCAATAGGATCCTCGTCCAGGGCTAAACTATCGAAGCCTAACGACATGGACAAGACGTCAACACCATCGTCAATAGCTTGATCCACCGCCGCAAGAACATCCGACACAACGCCGTCTCCGCCCGACACTACTTTGTACATCGCGATTCGGGCCTTTGGAGCTACGCCTCTGGCAGTCCCGGCGGCATAACCGTAGAAGGCTGCATCCTCCACATAATTACCCGCAGCGGTGCTCGACGTGTGCGTCCCATGCCCCTCCGTGTCGCGGGGTGAACTCATACTCATTTCCGGTTTCTTGGCCAACATGCCCTTGCCGAAGGACCTTGCTCCAATCAATTTTCGATTGCACAATGAGGAGTTGAAATCCGAGCAACTCTCGCAGACTCCTCTCCACCTTGAAGGAATCTCGCCAATGCCGTCGTCTTTGAAACTTTTGCTTTCTGGCCAGATACCGGTATCCACTAGACCAATGATGACGTTGTCGCCATAATTGGAAGCTGGCCAAGCCCCGTGGTCGTGGTTGAGGCCGAGAAACCGGTAGGAATGGGTGGTATCAAGTTTAACGGGCTTATCTTTCGTTGAAGAAAGATAACCTGGTAGTGTCTTGACGGCCTCGAGCTCAGCTGACGAGAGAATAGCGCTGAACCCGTTGATGGCATTTGAGTAGGTGTAAAGAAGCCTGGAGGAGGAAGGTGGTGATGACGAATCTGCTACGGTGGCAAGCGAGCTAGTATACCATGAATGATGACTGGTGAATGGTTTGGGCATTAGCGAAACGTCCATATGGACGATGTACGTTTCGTATGCTTTCGATATCGACTGTTGGGATGCAACGGAAAGGAAGAAAAAGCAGAGGAATACATAGTTTGAACAAGTTCCCATATTGCAATTGTTTTTGGCTGCTCTGCTGTTTTTCGTGAATTGATTCATTGTTTTATAGAGGGAAGGGGTCCCCAAATTCATTGTTAAATTCTTTCCTTGTATTAATTTTTAAATATAAATCTTTATTATGTTTTTATTTTTTCGAAAATTTATTAGCTAATAAATTTTGTGCAGCGGTATTAGGGGCATTCAACAATCATAAAAACAGGGTTAAGGGGTTTAAATTTAGACAAGCCTTATCTTAAAAGGGTGTTTGTAATTGTATACACATAATTCAATAGTGGTAACTGGTAAGTGTATTTGACCTAACCCTTTAATTTAAAATTTAATGAATAAACTTTTTTTTTTTTTGATTTACATGATCTAAAATTGTAAAGGTAAAAAAGAAAAAAAATGATTTCTTGTATGTCATGGGCAGTTTGAGAATTACATTCAAAAGCTTCCATTCAACATATGTACAAACCCTAGATTTTAAAATTAAAATAATTGATTTTTATATTAATTTAACTTTAAGATACCTGCAAAAAAAAAAAAAAAAAAAACCCGAACATATTTTGTTATTTATTCAGTTTATTTATAAAATGATTGTTTCTAAGATCTAATGACTATCTTTTTTTTAAACATAGTCATTGTTAAACTTCTATTAGTTCTATATTGTATTATCTTTTTTTTTATTAACTAATTAATTTACTTATAAACTTTATGATCATGTAACTAATGATGTCTCATACCATTATAACATTAGACACGTATAGTTCAATTGTGGTACGAGTGTTTATTAGTCCTTTAATTGAAAAAAATAACAAAAATTAATGAATGGTATAGTTTTCTCCAAAAGTTAATAGATTATATATGGTTCACTGGTCGTCTATTAATCATTAATTCAATAGTGTTAATAAAATGAATGATTTGCACAAAATAAGTAATGAGATTGAATTTGTCAAAAGCTATAGAGAAATAGAATTCTGTTTTTCATGCATGCATGTGACGTTGTTTCTTTCAAATTCTATTTATCGTAAATTTACTGTGATGGGTGGTTTAATTAGACAAAAAGATAATGGTTATGGTCACGGGTCACCAAGTAAATATATTATTCATTTACATGAATTCTATATATAGTAAAAAGTAAAAATTAATAAATTAAAAGTAGAAGAGAACATATTTAGCTAATTAGTTGTAATTATTATGGTGAAGGTGCATTAATTAGATGGTGATATGGTAACAATAATTAAATCTTGAGCTGATTGTTACAACTTTTTTTTTTTTTTTTTTATTCTTTCTGAGTATAATCAAGGGACCCCTATAATCAATTAATCATGCAGAATTTCCTTGGACTTAAACAAGTCTATCGGCTTACGAAAGGACTTATAAAGGAAAAAGGGATACATTTGCCACCCTTGCACCTATATCCGTTGTATCATTAGTTATTTCTATGCAATACTCGGTGAAAGTTACGCTGAGTGATTTTTTATCGTTGATCTATACACACTAATGTGAGTTTGGGTGTATAAATGATAAAAATCTACCCGGTGTAGTATAGTATAAACCGTATCATTAATAAGGATTAATCTCAAAAAGGCCCATGATTGGGCACGTACTTAAAAAAGGGACATCTAATTTTTTTGTTTTTCAAATATTTCCAGCTCATTCAAACTTATTTGCAAATAAGGAAAACCATTTTATATCTACCAAAATTACCTTCAATTCATTGAAACCCAATTCAACTCCAATTTCATGACTTACACCCTAATTTAGCCAAATTTCACCAATTAACCAATTTTATGAAGAAAAAAATTCTGGTAGGTCAACCGCCTTTTTTTGCCTTTTTTTTTTCTTTTTTTTTTAATTTTTTTTTCTTAAAAATTATTTTAATTAATATTACTGTCTTGGCTGCTAAATTACTGTTTCCAGCAGTTATTTAACTGTCGGAGATAGTAATTTAACAGCTAATTGACTTTTTTTTCTTAAAAAAATATTTTAATTAATATTACTGTCTTGGCTGCTAAATTACTGTCTCAGTGGTTATTTAACTGTCGGAGATAGTAATTTAACTGTTAATTGACTTTTTTTTTTTTCTGAAATTTTGTTTTTTCTTAAAAAAATTATTTTAATTAATATTACTATCTTGGCTGCTAAATTACTGTCTCCAACAGTGATTTAACCGTCTGAGGTAGTAATATTACTGTATTAATTATTTTATCGTCTTGGCCTGCATTTTTGCTTTCTTCGACTGTAATATTACTGTCTCCGACCGTAATATTACTCTCTCATGTTTGGGACAATAATATTACTGTTCGAGAAAATAATATTCATAATATTACTATCCCAAATAGGGATATTACTGTATGAGACAGTAATTTAGCAGCCAAGACAACAATATTAATTAAAATATTTTTTTTCTAATAAAAAACAAAATTTCAAAAAACAAAAAAAAAAAAGTCAACGCTGGAGACCGGCCCGAAAAAAAATTCAGAAAAAAAAAGAGTTTTCCGAAAAAAAAATGTCAACGCCGGAGAATCGTCGGGTCAACGCTGGAATCTGGCCGGATAAAAATTTTCAGAAAAAAAATTATTTTCTGAAAAAAAAAATATGTTTTCAAAAAATTATTAAAATGGGGGTTAATGTGATATATTTGTTTAAATCCTTGATCAATGTGTAATATTAAGGAAGTTAGAGTATAATTGATGGAATTGATAAAAAATATTTTATGGAGGGTAGTTTAGACTAAAGATATAGAGATGAGTTTATTTGAAAGACTGTTTTTTTTTTGTGCACCAATATGCATTTAAGTCCATTGTCATATCCATTTTTTTCATTTGCCCCATTAATAATTACTCCCCTAAACCTATATTACACAAAATTCCATGCAAATCATTCACATACCAAAGTATTAAACTGTAAATTTAGTATTATTATATTATTTTTTAAGGGGCAATTTGCTATAGGTTCCTCTATATTATAATTTATATGTGTAGATCCAAGTTAAAATTTCCATAATCGAAACGTGAAGTTTTTTCTTATATTCGAGACAGGGTCTCCCAAAGACTCAAAGGGTTAAAGGAAAAATGGCTCTCCAGGGGAGGAAAAGAGATTCTTATCAAATCGGTGTTACAAGCCATCCCATCTTATTCTATCGGTTGCTTCAAGCTTCCAGGTTATTTCTCGAACGAAATTGAACAGTTAATGACACAGTTTTGGTGGGAAAATACCAAAGGAAAATGAATTCATTGGGCTAAATTGAGCGATCTTTGTTTTAGTAAACAATCAGGGGGACTAGGATTTCGGGATCTTGAAGCGTTTTACATGGCACTGCTTGCCAAACAACTTTGGAGACTGCTTGTGACACCCAATAGTCTTCTAGGGCAAGTACTAAAAGCGAGATATTATCCACACACTGATATCTTAGAAGCAAGGTTGGGTCCAAATCCCTCGTTTACGTGGCGTAGCATATTTGGATCTAAACGAATTTTGGAGGCGGGGTTGCGCTGGAGAGTGAGGGATGGGAAGTCTATACTGATTTGGAACCATCGATGGCTGCCTAGGGAATCTACCTTTAAACCGATCACACCGCATGCCAACTTTCCCCCCGATATGAGGGTTAGCGAGCTTATTTTGGGTGAATCAAACCAATGGAACGAAATGAGGATCCGAGAAATATTTATGGAGGATGATCAGGGTTATATTCTTGCTATTCCCCTTGGGAGTTCAATCAACAAAGACATTCAGGTTTGGCATTATAACCAAAATGGTTGTTTCTCGGTTCGTAGTGCTTACCATCTTGCAGTTTGACTGGAAATTGAGATCTCCAACCCTGCGTCGAGCAGTTCCATTAACAGCACCTCGACTCCGTCGAAATGGATATGGAAGCTGAGTCTCCCAAATAAGATAAAAATATTTGCATGGAGAGCTTGTAAAAACCTCCTTCCCACCAAAGATAATCTTTATTAAAGGAAGATAACAGTTGATAATTTGTGTGGTCGGTGTGAGTGTGAGGTTGAAGATATATTTCACTGTTTTTCCAGTTGCTCTTTCTCGAGGCAAGTATGGGCTCTTAGTAATGTTTCCTGGATTGTGCATCAGTGGAAGGGGAATAATATGAGGGAGTGGTTGGTGAGTATGAAAAGGTCGACAAATATTGTGGGTTTTAAGAAACGTGTGCTTATTTGTTGGGCGATTTGGTTTGCGTGAAATCGTTTTGTTTTCGAGGGTGCGTTCAAAGAAGTTTTGGAGGTCATCTCGTTTTTTGGAAGAATTGAAGATCAGTTGCGTCACCCGACAGCTCGAGTCCTCATGAATCAACTTTCTACAGGAACACTGAAGGATCATTGGACTCCGCTGACTACGAATGTGATTAATGTCAACTTTGATGTGGCTATCAACTCAAAGGACAAATGTGTTGGGGTAGGAATTGTGGCTCGAACCCATTTGGGTGACTGTGTGGTCTGGAATTCGATTTGTATAAATCAACCTCTGGACCACACCTCGGCTGAAGCAAAAGCAGCACTCTTAGCGGTGGAATTTGCGCAAGGAAGATCATGGAACAATATCGTTCTAGAAGGAGACTCCGCCATGGTTATTGCAGCAATCTATGACGGATGTGAAGAATGGTCAGTGTACGGAAACATTATCACAGATATTCATGCCCTTGCAAACTTGTTTGAGTTCTTTTCTGCCAACCATGTCCGGAGAACAGGGAATCGAGTAGTACATAATATTGCTCGACTCTGTTTTCAAGATGATTTTTGTACTGATTCTTTACCTCTTGAGATTCAATATTTTGTAAACTCTGATTTGACGTCATAATATAAATCGTCCTTTCGCTCTAAAAAAAAAAATCAAAAGTTTCCATGTCTAATTAAATTAATAATATTTATTGTGGCAAAAATTACCGTTAGTTAAATCAAATCAAACCCCAAAAATTTCTCCATCAAAAAAAAT